TTTATAATCTCTTATTTTCTCAAATAAGGGATTATAAATGCCTACAGTAAAAATAATAACCAGGGGTAGGTGGAGGGGTGGGGGGACACAGTTATATTCTTAAGAGAATGTCACTGTTAAATAGTCAAATTTAAAATCAAAAGTCGCTAAAAAATAAAAATAAAAACAATGACAAGTATATTAATACAATTAATGTAAATTTCATTTATGGATACCAATATTAAAAGTTAAACAAATTTTTTTGTCAAAATATCATCCAACAAAAAATTACCAAAGAGTTTTGCAAAAAAGACAAGACTATATTCATAGTAGAAAAAGAGCACTCACATTTCACACATCAGAGGTTAAAGATCATCAGGGATTTTATTACAGTCATGAGTGGCAAAATACTAACGAAATCCTTGGACTGCTGTACTTTCACAGATATTGAAAGTTTTTGCTAATTGTCTAATGTCACTGTTACCAAAGCATAAATCTTGTTCTGCAAACTATTGTGGTTTATCAAAAATTTGCAAATTTTTTATCAAACTATTGTATTTTTCTTTGTTTGGATTATTTTCTTTGTGTTGTAACGATTTATGTACAGCTCTAGTTGTAAACATTTTAGAATCAAGATTTTCACTTACTTTACTAAAAAATTCTTTCTGATTATTTTTTGAAACTTTAACTATCTGCACCTTGACGTCTTTAAATTCAAATTTTTCTGCTGCAAGCTGTGTTCAAGGTAATAAATCAATGTGCCTTGGGTAAAGTAGTTTGCCTATCTAGTAATATTTTAGAAAGATGTTCTAGTTCTATTAATGCATCTAACGGGTTATGCATAAGTCTTCAAACTTTTTTTATAGTCGTAAAAAAATATTGTTAGTTAGATAAAAAAATGAAACTATATGGTAATAAAGAACATTCATTCTAGTATTTATTAATATATTTAACATATTGAATAAACGCCTCTATCAGTGATTTTTCTAAGTTTTGTTTTAACACTCATCATTAGTCTTTGTAACAGATCTGGATCATTTTCTTTTATTTCATTTAATTTGCTCTTTATTCTTCGAACTAGTTGATATAAGCTACGTGCTCTCCAACCATCACTGTATACCATCTGACTTAAAATAGCCCATAATGTTTCAATTGGTCTAGCCTGTGGAACATTTGGTGGATTAGTGCATTTTTGTACAAATTCTATGGAATTATCAATAAACCAATTTTCTGTTTTATTAGCATAATGAGCAGTTGCAAGATCTGGCCAAAACACAAAATTATTATCTTTATGATGTCTCTAACAAATGGTATAAGTCTTTTCTTCATACATTCTTTCATATATTTTTTGGATGTTATTGAAATCCATTTGAAAAAATGCAAATTCAAACCAATACCTTTTCTTCGAATTTTTTTTTCAACTTATATTTTACATTATCAAGGGCTAACAATTTATTATTTGTATAATATATATCATTTCCAGTTATATTTGAGTTTGATAGGTTAAACAATTTTTCGTCATCCATGATTATATCTTTTTCATGGAATACTTTATTAACTAATCTTCTCGATGATGCTGCTGCTCTTTGTTGTTGATCTTTTTCATACAAAGGTGCTTTTTGTTTTTTGTAGCATTTAATATCTGTTTTGAAATTAATAGTTCTTGAAATTGTGCTTTGGTTCACCTTAAAATATGAAGCTAAATACTTTCGACAAATACCAGTTGAATTATTTAGCATTTTAGTCAATTGTTTGACTTTTTTCTTACCCATTTTTGGAGGACAACCTGATCTAACCAAATCATTATACACACCATACTTCTCATATCTTGCAAGAATACTAAATATAGTTAACTTTGGTATTCCTTCATTTTTAAAATGTTTATATGTTAATTTCTTTTTATCACTTGAACAATTTTCATAGAACGTTACAACTCGTTTTGCGAGGGCTTCTCGATCAAATCTTGTCATTTTTTTTGTATAGAAGTCTAGATAAAAATTAAAAGTGATTTAAATACATTAATGTTTGATCTTCAAAATAAACAATAAGTTGAAGGTTGAAAAATTACTCTCCTTATTTAAATCAGTTTCAAAAAAAGTTCGAAGACTTATGCATAACCCGTTAATATTTCTAAACGTACCCTATAAATATATGTTTTTTTATTTTTATTTTTTTAGTAGATAATAATATTAAATATGAAAAAAATGAGTGAAAATATTTTTGAAAATAAATCAAATGTTACAATGAAAAAAAGTTCGAAGACTTATGCATAACCCATTAGCATTTGTCCTGTGTTAAGTACCCGCATAAATGTAAACATGTAGCGAAGGATATAAGAAATTCTCTGAATAATAGTAAAAGATGAAAATTGTGCATGTGAAAAAGCATATTTTGACAGTTCAGTTGTCAAGAAAAAAATAAAAATTAATAGAGGAATATTTAAAAATAAATAAGACAGACAATGCACCTAAACATTGTAATTTATGACATGAAAGCTTTTTCCTCATTGATTGCTGTTTTTTTTTTTTTGTTTTACCATATTCTTTGACATTACCAAATGTCCACTTGCTAGCAAATTATATATATATATATATATATATATATATATATATATATACATATATATATATATATATATATATATATATATATATATATATATATATATATATATATATATATATATATATATATATATATATATAATTAAGATACTAAATTATGGTAACTAATTTAAAATTATGATAATTAATCTTTATATTTAGTTTATGTAAAAAGTTTATGAAATAGTTCAAAAAATAAAGTACTACTTAAAATAAAACTTATTATTTTTCTATGAAACTTGTAACCTAAAATTATTATAGAGTTATGTCTTCCAAAACAGATGTTTATGATTTATTTTTTTGTATAACTTATTAGTCACACTTTAACAGCTTGTTTATACTGAAAATCCAATTATTTCATTTTAGTAAGTAAACAAGCCAAAACACAGTATATGCTCATGTCAAAAGATGGTCCATTCAGTATAATCAATGGTGGTTCATTCATAACATTAATCAAAATGCACATGTTTACCCATATAAACACAGCAATCAGTATATCAAATAACTTTTATTATAAAGTATTAATAAAATTTGTATTATTTTTAGAGACTTTTAATAAATTTATATTGTTTGGAGTAGATTTTTACAAATGCCTAAATTGCTCAATCCCCATTTATATTAAACATACCATTATTTTTAGTTTTATTTTTCATAAAGCACATGTTATTATTTTTTAACAAATTTATATAACAGGATTTACCTAAAAAATTAATTATTTAGAACAAAAAACCATTTGATTTACAAAAATACAGAGAAAAATATAAAATTGGAATGAAATATTCTTAGCAGAGAAAATGCAAGATTTTAAGTACAAAATACAGAAAAAAGATGCAATATTCAGATAACTTAAAAGTGAGATTTAATATTCCAAGTACAAAATAATAAAATATTAGTGCATTATAGTTTATTAACAAGAGTTTATTTAATAATTAACAAAAACTAATTAATAAATGTTATAATTTTAAAAAAGCAAAATTAAAAATTATTGTCTGCTTATTGTTAAACATGCATGTGCAAGTAATTAAAAATTTGAAATTTTAGCATTTAAAAAAAAAATTAGAATCTAAATATTTCATTTTTTAATAATTTGTATCAAAAAACGGTAAAAAATGTGAACATTAAATTCACTCGTTTAAAAAAATAAAGAATACCAGATAAATTAATTGACAAAATAATATTGATAAGAATTATATTGTGATTTGAGCACAACATAATTATTTGAAAAAGAGGTTCTGCTTATTCAAACATCTAGAGCTACAAAATTTGCATTGCATATCATAAAACATTTGTTTTAATAGGAAGAGCAATATTTATGACCAACATATATACACATATCATAATTATACATATACCCATATCAAAAATATACACATACACATATCAAAATCTACTAATTTATTTAATATTTACTATTGTTCTGTTTTTTTTAAGAACGTTGAGCACTCTATTTTGGAGAAATTTATTTAATATTTACTATTGTTCTGTTCTTTTAAGAACATTGAGCACTCTATTTTGGAGAAATTTATTTAATATTTACTATTGTTCTTTTCAGAACATTGAGCAATCTATTTTGGAGAAAATAATTATTTGTAGATGCATGTGCATAGAACAGATTTTGTCAACTTAATGTTGTCCTTATTTTTATCAAGTTCAAGTTAATAAATACGTTATTGCATTATTAACTTTATTAACAAAACAGGTAATAAGGTCTTGTCTTGGCATTATTGGTAAACTTATTCTAATGCTATTTTGTGTGTGTGTCTGTGGTTATTAAGTGCTCAAAGAAGAAAGTCTTCAAAGTCCTTATGATCTAATCACAGAGCACAGCAAAATAGAATTTAACTGAGAAGCTTGCGTCTCCATCCTTACTCACAAACGCAGCTAAAGCTGGCATTTAATCTCAGACTTTTAATTTACTTTTATTTTTTTTAGGTGCCTAAAGAAGACCTAATGATCTTGTCACAGAGCACCAGGGAAGAGCATTTAATTAAATCACTTCTTGATTTTAAAGCAAGCACTCTAACCACTGAGCCACGTTTGCTATTAATTATTTACTAACAATTAATACTTCAACTAATATGATAGTAGAGATTTAAACAATATAAAAAATGTTATACAACTAATAAAACAAATATATGCCTGTTACTAATAGGTTTTCCAGGTTTTCCAGGTACAGTACGAACCCTGTGTTACTAATAACTAATATCAACTAAGAAAAACTATAACTACTAAAAATTGTCTTAAAAAAATAAATTAATTGTCACTAAAAACTGCTTATAAAAAAAATTATGTGATTACTCAATATAAATACTCAAATGTAACTTTTTCCCTAAAATAGTTGGGTTTTTTTTTACAAAAATTACTAAAATATATAGATTTTAATTAATAAACTACATAAATTCATAAAGTATTATTAACCTTAATTATCACATCTTCATCTTTACTTACAACTTTTGTAAGTTGCAATTTACTTTCTTCAACTTTTGTAAGTGGTTTTATATCAAACTACAAAAGATAAAAAAAAAATACAAAACAAAAAATTTAAACTTTAATTCATTATTTATATTCCTAATTTTTTTTATAAAAAGTTTATTATATAACATTTTATATTGCATTATAAGTTAGTTAATTAACTTTATTATAATATATTTAATAAAACCATAAACTAACTTTAATATAATATATTTAATATAATTTTAAACTAAATTTTACAGTAACTTATAATAATAAAAAAATAACTTTTTTTAATTAAGTTTTTAAAAATGATAATGAAAAAATTTTAAAATAACCAAAAAAATGTTCCATAGATTCCTTTTTACTACAAAAAAAACTACAAAAAAGATTTATTTAGATCTATCATCGTAAGGATTGCTCATTTTTCATACTTTAAAACTCTCTGTACAATATATTAATTTTAATAATTACAATAATGATAATAATAATAATATAATATATACAATAATATCATATATATAATAATAATAGCAATAATAATATAAAAGAAACAATGCAATGATATTGTGATGACATAACAATGTCATTGAATGATATTGCAATGACAATACAGAAACCTTGTAAATAATGAAAACAATTTTCTAAAAAAAAAAGAAAGAAAAAGAAACTAAAATCAGTTGAAAAAAAGAAAAAAAAGGTAAAAGATTTAACATTGGGATATACATTAGCCAATCCCATAATTTTTTTTTGACAACCAATTTTTATAATGAGTGACATAGTGGCAGGGGCTATTCTAGATTGTTTTCGATAGCATTGACTGTATTTGAGCGTTGCCGAAATTAAAATTTGAGGACTTTTTTTTTTTTTTTACGTATTTTATGGCAAATATTGTTTAAATATTTTTTATACAATATTTAAACAATATGACCTGTTCTGTCCCAGAGAAATTTAGTGGAAAATTTATGACAAATTTTCCACTAAATTTCTCTGGGACAGAATGGGTACTGCCGCCCAAATTTTTTTCCTAGAATAGGCCCTGGTAGAGATCATATTTGTATGTCTAATTTTTTTCTTTTTTCTTGTTAGAAGTATCTGCACCAATTGCTCGAAGTTGCGCTTTTGGCACAAATAGATTCTGATGTCAAGTCCAGTTAATTTTTTCAATAATATTTTCTTTATATGTTTCTGTACAAAAATAAAACACCATGCTTTTCAATTTAAGAAATATATAGGACCTATATTTTACTGATTACAGTAAATAAATAAACCTTTTTTTAAAATAAACTGAAAGTCATTTCCAGTCATGCTACAAACTTTACTATTTTCTCCTCATTTATTCATTTCAACTATGGTCAATGGATTTACAATTTAGCCATGAGTTCTGAGGAGTTGCTAGGAACTTTGAAGGATTTTGCAATTTATATTGTATCCAAACAGTCTGAGGTAGCCTCATCTGTAGGCATTTTTTCAAACTTTGAACTAGAATAAAAATTAACCTCGAGGTTGATTATACTACTTAAGACCTTGCAATTGGTCTTTATCAACAAAAACTGCTTTCAGAAGAATTTCAGCTTTAATTCTATTTGTTTTTACATCATTTTAGATCTTCTTTTGGGTTGAATAAAGAACTTTTATTATTTCTATGTAGTGATCTCTATCAGAAGATGCTAACACCAGCACCACATGAATTTACCATGAGTTTAATAGCATCTCTGCAACAGGCTCATAATCAGTATAATGACACATCTGCCAATAGTCTTGTTGATGTTAAAACAACGCTGCTTAAAAATTATTGCACCTAATTTTGACGAGATAAACTCAAAGTGCTATTTTAATTCATTTCATTTCTACTATATTTCTTCTGATTTTAAGAAAAGTCAATCAGTCTAAAATGTCTATAATGAAGAAAAAAAAATTGGTTTAGAGTTATTTTTTTGGTTTTTTATTGGTTTAGAGTTATTTTTTTGTTTTTTACATTTGACTTCAAACTTTTTTACAAGTCATTATTTTTAAACAATTTGTAACTTTTATGACATATTGCTCTTAAATATTAAAATATTAAAACTTATGAAACTATTACTTTAAAAACTGCAGAATCAGAAAACTTGCAGGTCAAGCAATACTGGGTATTGTTTGACCTGCAAGCTTTGAGAGGGGAATGCCATTCATTTTACTTGACTATTTTATTGTTCATAATAAGAACCTGCCTTATTTTGGGGAAATACAACTTAAATTTTTATGAAGCAAAATGTCTTTGCTAAACACCTGGCTGTGAAACTTGATTTTTTTACTTTTACCTAATGGCCTATTTTTTTCCCCCAAATTCACAATAATATCTGCAATTCTCAAAAATCTAATTGAAAATAATAAGGTAATGAAAAAAATAATTTTATCATTACCTTACTATCTCTTAACTTTTTATGGACTATCAGGTTCCAACAAGTTTAGGGCACAAATAGAGCCTGCTTCTCCAACCAGGTGCCTTAACATTCTGGTCATTAAATTGCAACAGCACCCCTCATTGTTTGCATCAACACCATCCTAGCTCAGTTCAGAGATTTAAATAGTTAATTCTCCAGCTTAACAGTTTTATTTATGGCCACCGCTATGGTTACAGTTTTATGGTTACAGTTATATGAAGCTCTTCGACATGAAGGTAGGAGGTTAGAAAGAATAATTGGTGGCCATGGAAGTAAGCTAACCTTGCATAAATCCTTTTCAAATAGCCAGCGATTGAAGTGTATGAGCTGTCAGAGATTAAAAGAATCTAACAAATTTTAATTTGCTGCGTATTGGACCTCAATGCCATTGTGTTTGAAAATCACATTTTTTAAACTATAACAAATTTGTGTTTTTTTCAGTTAACAATTATAATAATAATAAAAATGTGCACAATCAGTATAGATTAAAAACCTTCCTTACTTTTTAGTAACGTAAGTATATAGTTAATGATTTGCAAGTTTCTATTTACGCCGATTGTTTAAAAATGCTCTTAAAAACTCAAAAAAATGTGAAAAAGTTAAACTTTAAAAGAGTGGCGCTTGTAAAATAGTCATTCCAAAAAATAAAAAATAAAAATTTCATTCAAAAATTGAGGTTTTAAAACAAAGAAATGCAAAAAAAAAAAAAAAAAAAAAAAAAAAAAAATTAATTAATTTAATTTAAAATTTAATAAAATAAAAATAAAATTTAATTAAAATTTAATAAAATAAAAATAAAATTTAATTAAAATTTAATAAAATAAAAATAAAATTTAATTTAAAAAAAAAAAAGAAATTAATAAATAAATAAAAGAAAAAAGAAAACAAACTTTATATTTTGTTTTGTTTTAATTTAATTAACACCCATTAAAAATAAAAAAAAAAACTAACAAAGTTATTTCGAGTTTTTAAGTTAGGGATTGCCCATAAATTACATATCGCAAACTTTCACAATAAACAAAAAGATCAAAAGTTTTTCCTCGCAGAGTCTTAATTTAAATATAAAATCAAAGAAGCCCATTAAGTTTAATGAAAGTCGCTGTATAAAAGAGCTTGATATCTCCTACCTCTGTTTTTTTAAATATATTTTGCATTGCATAATTTATGGACGATAATAGAGTGCTAGAATTCCAGAGACAAAAAGACATCTTCAAGCGAGTCTTGAGAAAAACTCCCTTAGGAATTTTAATCAAGACTTGCTTGAAGATGTCCATTTGTCTCTGGAATTCTAGTACTCTATTATCTCAATTTTACCCTTTTGCCCAATTTATAACTTTGAGCACTTTTTCGGATTAAAAAAAAATGCTCATTTCCTATTGTTTTAAGACAAATACTCTTGAACAAAAAAGGTTTCTTTCGATTGACACAATATAAAACCTGACAGTCACTTTGGCTTTCAGTGTGTAAATATGTGTAAATAGGGACAAAATCTTTAGTTACTCCAACTAGTTTTAATTCATTTGTTTTTAAAAATTCAGATAAATGCATAGAATATTTATTTTTTAATTTAATTGTATAACATTCATATTCTTTGTTTCATTGCACAATGGAACTAAATATAACAATTTTTTATTGCACAATCGAACACAACAGAAAACCTAACTAAGGAAAAAGAGCCAAAATTTGATAAAACTATCCCTGTCTGAAATTTTGCATACTTATCAAAAATTTTAAATTCATCAAAAAAAAAAATTTGAATGATTTCTGTAAAAATTTTGACCAAAATTTTCAAACCAAAGATGATGAGCATTTTTTTACACTATTCATGGCGCAGTGATGAGAGTTTCAGAACCAGAGGTCTGGAACCAGAGGTACAAAGTTTGAAGCTGGCTCTGGCAATACAAGCAATATTGGTATGGAAGAATTCTTATTTTAATGTACAAAATCAAAGAGATATATGGTACTATTTCTAACTTTACAAGAGAATCATTCTACAGTTAGCATGTGATGAGTTGGTACATTACTATTGGTATATTACACTTACCCCATATGAAGCAGATTGTACTACATTACGTGTTATCAGTAACAAGGTGACCTGAAAACAGTTATGTGCTTTGATCGGGATTGCCACACCTGGATAAAACGTCTAAACTTATAATCACTGCTTCATGGCTTCTATTTGAAATTGAAAGAATTGGATCCAAAGTATCCATTGTGCGTATAATTACATAAAAAATGTTGCGTCTATGACTATCTTTTCAAGCACAATTAATTTTATCAGACCTAAAAAGTTTCTACTTTCTGAAGTTTCTACCATTAGCCAACAGGAATAATTTAACTTGAAATGATTTGTAAACCATGTATCATAAGTTTGTTTAATGTGGGAGGAAATTTTCTATATAATTGAACATATCGAGATGCTGTTAAGAAGCACTAGCCATTAAATTTGATTAAGTCAAATGGAAATTGATAAAAAATTCACAACAAAAGTATTCTTAATCTTTGAATAAGCTCCAAATCAACATTTAAAACTTAAAGCAAGAGAATTAAATCTTTCCAGCTATTAACCTCAAACACAGCTTACATTCAACAAATAGTTTCCAGACTTCAATGTAATCACAATCTCTTGGA